AGAATTCAACTTGGAATCTAGCCTTGGATTGCTTCCTTGTTTTTTGAGAAATTTTGTTTCTTCAATGTAAAGCTTCTGCTTTCAATCTGTTCTCCAATCTAGGCATGAATCTGGACCCAGATTGGTCTTGACCGTTTCTTGCTTAGGTTTTCCTGCATCTTGTATATCTCGTGCTCAATTTTAACCATCCTTTGAAACTCGCCAATTCCACGAGTTTTTGGACTTCAACAAATGCATCATGATCTTGTCTTGAGTCCAACTTCAAGCATCATTCTTCAAGTCCTATAAAAAAACAACAAAATTGTGTGAGTAAACCGGACAAAATTTGAATTAAAACCCTGGATAGTGCTTAGAACCAATTATAGTAAAAATGGACCTTTTTCTTCTTGTAACATTGCAAAAGTGACTACCATAAAATATCATCCAAATATCTCACAAAATAGTAACTTATCAACTATACTTAATTTCTATGGGTAAATTTTGTGAGAACCCTAAAATTGTCACATTTTCTTAGCCTTTTGTTTATTCTCACTTTCCCTTGTTAAGTGAAAATGTGTTAACCATTTGTTTTCAACAAAGGAAGGTTTTGATAGTACATACATTTGGGTGAACGATATGTATATACGTGTATGTGTTGGAAGTATGGTTGAGCGTGGCAATTGAACTAGAATTATTTTATTTCTTTGCCTACATTTTATACTTTCCTTGGAAATGTTAAAATTTCTATGCATTTTTACAAGCAAGTACAGTTTTAAATTCATTTTTCTAGTATGAGTTAGTGGACGTTAAATTTGAAACGCATTATCGATGTGGGGCCTGCTAGTGCGATGCACGCAACATTTTTTTTTACAACTAGTTGGTGAACTATGGAGTTAATTGCAAAGATTAAAAGTTATTGGGGCCATAGTGTGAGACTTAGCAAAGTAAGATATTAGTAACATTGAAACTTCTAAGGTCTTCCTAAGCTTAAATTTGATTGGTGGAGGAAAAGTGACCTTTGACCTTAGCTTAAATATCTAGGATGTTAGTAAATGAGAAGGAAAGCAAAGCAAAAACTCATAGAAAATAGAGAGAGAGGGCCGTGAGCCTTGAGGAAAACCAAGAGGAAAGAAAACTTCAATTGCATCTTGGGTTTGCTTGATTTAGTGAGAACAAAAAAAACTAAATCGATTAATCATTAGTTTGGAAGCTTGGGAAGTTTAAGGAACCAAAAATTTCAAGGAGTAGTGGAGGATCACTCTTGCAAGGTCTTGTCTTGAGGTATAATGGCTTATCACTCTTTCTTTCTCCATTAATCATGATTAAATTGGGTATTAATGTTAGAGTTGTGCCTGTGATGCTTGTTTCAAATGGTTTTGATGATTGGAGGGAGGAATATTGAGTTAGGGTTTTGATTTATTCACTCATATTTCTTGTGGGTTAGGTGTTATATGGTGTATATATATGGTATATAATCTTGTAAAGGAGAAGGTAGTGGTAATTTTAAGGTAAAAATGTGAATTATAGCTTGACTATAACAAAAGTCCAGATTTCTGGAAATTCAAGCTTCAGTTCTGCCCGGTTCCAGTTCGTGATGTTAGAGGCTGAATTAGGCTTAGCATAAAACATGAAAGTTGTAGAGAATGATGTTTTATAGTTTCCTACAAAATTTCAACTCAATCAGAGTAATGTAGCCTATGAAAAGACAAAAATACCCCTGACTCTCATAGGTTTAGTCCAGTGGACAATTTTGATATTTCACAACACTAACCGTGTCTGTTCACCCTGATGTGTACTGAATTAGCCTTTGGACAAAACACAAAAGTTGTAGTACTATGTCTTAGCTTTCCAACGCCCCTAGAATCACCTCATTTGGACTTTGGTAGCCTGAGTTACGGTTGTTTACGCATAGTGCAGTTAACTAGCCCGAATGTGAGATTCTGGTTCTGTAAATGGCAATTTTGACTTAGATACACTACAAACTAGACTGAGTGATCTTCATCAAAGTTGTAGGCCTTTGTCTTAGCTTCTAAAAGGTATAAATTTTACCCCAATCCGATAAGCATAGCTTCGGTTGTGTCCGTTACGCAAAACAACGTCAAATCTGTCATTTGTTTCTTGACTCAACCTTCATTTCCGCACATGCTTCTAGCTTGATTTTGTACTTGTATGACTTGGAGCCTATGGAATGGCTATTGAAATGAGATGATTTTGTATATGACTTTGGGTTTGATTGAGGAAAAGAATGAAGCCATAAATGGCTGGAAAATAGGTAAATACAAAGGGCGTGCTGCCCAAATTTACGCTCGAGAACTAGGTCGATATACTTGCGACTTGAGTAAGGCTTGAGAGCGAATACCACGTGAACCATCTAAGGTATTTACGTTTTCTTTGCCACTTCGACTCAAATAGCAATTTTAAAATTTTACAAGTGAGTCTAAGTTTTACAAATATTTTACTTATGTCCTTTGGTTTCAATGTACTCTTTTCACTACCAAAACCATATTTATACTTTGTACTAGTACGTATTCGACTTGTCTTTGACTCACTTACATCTTTGATGGTTGAAGCATAATGTGTTCGTTTGATTATTAGGGTTCTTTGGTGATTGAGAGTATTATCCGGAAGGAAACTTTGGACGTTATTTTGCTTAAATAGGTGAATGTTCCTTGTTGTTATGTTACTCTTGACTATATGCCTTGTTCCATGTTATGGATATTTGATTGAATGTTAAATGCTTTCAATGATTGCTAAAAACGAGTTTTCTAGGTGAGTGTGTACTTTATCGCACTCGACCTAAATGAATGTGAAATTTTCAATGATTGAATGATTATATATGCATGAATGTAAGCCATTGGCTGAACTGGGCACTGCCCTTTGTTACTGATCGACTCGAGCCAGAAGCGGACTTGGTCGGGCGATTTAGTGACCCTGGGTGAACGTTTGGTATACTCGAGTATTACCTTGTTGTCGGGTGGAGCCTGGCCAACGTCCAGGAGGGGGTGAATAAAATGAATGAATGAATGTCAATGCAAACGAGGGTTTTATTTACAAAAACGCATTTTCAAATAATTTGAAGAATAAGGGGAATGACAGGAGAATGAACGAACGAAAGAATGAATGGCTCCTTGTGAGCCCGTATCCTTTTAATGAATGTGTTATTATCGCTTTCCATTGTAAATGTTTCTTGAACTATTGATACTCTATGATTAATGTATTGGATTGATTGTTTGATTATGTGTTCGGAACCTCACTGAGCTTTTAACTCATTCCTTTAGTTTTGTTTTCCTTAACAGGGGATGGCGAGCAGGACGAGAGCTCTGTATAGACTAGCCTAGTCTAGTTCTTTGATTTTGTAATGGTTCTCGCCCTAGTGCTTGGCACGGGTTGGATGTGTGGTGAATTAAGAACCTTTATATATTCGATGTGTGTACTCTCTTTTGAGATAGTAATGTACATAAGTTTTGTTTTAAGTTTTGGATCGTCGTTATATTTATTCTTGTGGGTTTATTCTGGTTTTGTTTGAGGGTTGAAGTGAACGACTAAGTCCCGGCGAGAGTTGGGCAGGCAGTCCGCCGAACCCTTTGGTTCGCCTTAGGGGGAGGTGGGGCTGTCACAAATTTTATGTGCTAAGACAACTTAGCTCCATCTCTTTTTCAGATCGCCAATTAAGCTGTCTTCTCTCTTTCCCATTAAGTCCACCATGACATTTTCTGTTTTAAAAGAAAATGTTTACCCCTATATGAAATATACGTACGTGCTTCTTAAATATAACTAAGTAGTGATGAAACTTCATTTCATTCTTAATTAGGTCATTATTGGTATTCTTATGCATATGTATTTTTTTTTCCAAACGATATATGCATATGTATTTACTGATTGAATTCTTTCCAACATCGGACAATGTCGAAGGAACTATGAAAATTTTACTTCTTCTCAGAGTATTAGCTAACTACTATTTTTGTAGCAATTATTAATGACTTAGTGATTTATATCATTTGTTTTTTATAAACTTTATTTGATTCCAATTCTTATTTTTAATCATTTCATTTTCATATGGGAAATAAAATATTTTGCAGGTAATCTAAAATATGCATACGAACTCCCTAAGTTGACCCTCTCTGTCTCTCTGTCTCTCTCTATCATTTATTTTCAAACATAACAAGAAGATTTTAGTAGCATTAAAATGCTCAAATTAAAAAATTAATAGATCTCATTTTAGATTGACTAGCAACTTAGATAGGAGAATAAACAATTATTTTACTCATCTTATATTGCTATATATTTGACTTTGTATATTTTTTTCATGTAAAACCTTATTTATGTATAATTGAACCAAGTTTGAAAAATAAATTGGATATAGTTTAACCAAATTTGAAAAGAATGTGGCTATAATGTGAAAAAAATTCAGCGCTATTTATTGATACTCTTTCTTTGACATTTTCAAGAACTTCTTCTACTTTTTGAGAGGCATATACAAATCGAATTTTATTTCCATCAATATCTACTATACTAAATTGCTTATAGGTTTTGTAGATGGCCAGCTTTAATAAGGCTTATCAAGTATGCTAGGGATTCCCAATAAATGTATTGAGTCTTAATGAATAGTTTGGATTCGGTTTGTCAAGGGTGTGATTCAAGTTTGATTTTTAGCGAGCTCAAGTTGAAATTGGAACAAGAATTAGGATTTATTTAAAGTATTGAATCATGCAATCTCAAATTTTGCAAATATTCAATTCGCTAGGACTCAATAAGATTAAAATGTTTTTTAATCTAAATACATGTATGTTATTATGTAGAATTTATATAGGTAATTCTACGAGTATTATAGATAAAAAATAAAAGATGAAAACTTTTAACTGGTAATCAAACTATTGACATAAATAAAAAAAGAAAGTTCCGAACATTGTAACATTGTCGTAAGAAGAACGATTTCAAATAGATGTATCCAATAGAATCCATATAGAAGGAAATTTTATTTTGAAATTGATCTAGAAGAAACAGAATTAGGCAACATTTTCTTCTTCTTTTCTTGGGCCTGCATAAAGATTGGAAATTCATTGGGATATCATGTTCCAGGTCCTCCAGGAAGGCTGGCTACGAACTGAACTAAGCGTTCCCACTGCAATGTTAATATGAAAATTAATTATATTTTTAAAAGCAGATGAAATATATTACGGTAAGCAACTTTAAATAGACAAAATATAAATTCTTAAAAAACTAGAATGCATAAAATATACCTCTTCTTTCAGTTGAGCATTTTCAACGAGTAATTGGCGCAAAATGAGTTTCCTATCATCATCTTGCTTAGTTGCAGTGGCTAGACCCACACATGTTGAGCAAACAGTACACCTCATTCTTTCCCTCATCATCATATTCTCCAAATAAATTTTTTGATTTTCTTCTCTTAGTGCATGATTCTCTGCTCTTGCAATTTGAGCCTACAATTGGAAAATGAAGTGCTTCACGAAACTTTTTATTTTAAGATGCTAACGAATATAGAAAAATAACACAAAATAACCTTTTATTTAAAGTCAAGACGTTAAAATCAAACAGTAATATACCTTCACTTGATTTCGTTTGTTTTGAAACCAAAATTTTATTCGTTTAGGTTCAACTCTGAGTTCCCTACCCAACTCTTTTCTCTCATTTTCATTTGGATGAGGGTTACCCTTGAAAAACCTTCAACAAATTCAATCACCAAAAAAAAACTATGATAAGTACATACCTCAAGAAGGGTGAGCATCATAGCAACAAAGCACTTTTGTTTTAGGTTCTATAAATGTAAATAATTGATACATGTTCATCAGATGACCAATTTTTTCAATGGTACATACATTAATAATTCACAATAATCTTACTCTTCAAGTTGTGCAACTAAATCAGGTGAATTCCGATGATATTGATTCTTGTGCTTTGGCGAGTTATTGGATGAAACTTCATCGTCAGATCCAATTCCACCATTTACTGGATCCATGATCTCTTACAATAGGAGAAGAATGATTTTAGAATCAATAACTCGACAAATAATAGCTTGACAGATTCTTAATTATCCAAATCCTATTTAAAAAGGCTTTTGATGGTTAAGAACATATATATCTATATAGCTAAAAATTGATGCGTTAACAAAAGTTTGCTAAACATGAAATTGAAGAAAGCTCAAAGAGATATACTAACTTAAATCTAGGGAGTTTCTACTTGGTTGGGACTACAGAGGGCATATGCCACCTATAGAGTTTTTGTGTGTTTCACTTCATGAAAAGCCTCACTTATTTATAATATGTCAATAACAAAAAATTATACTATGTCATGAAAAGTCTCACTTATTGTTCAAGAATATAAGGAAGGTAGCTAAGCACTCAAGTACTTACCATATAAGATTAATTGCATCAAAAAATTCGGGAGTGAGATTATTTTCCAAAAGTAAATAAAAAATAGCCATAAATGGCTCATCAAATATGGAAAAAAATCTACTTCATAGTTGCAATATTTAATGCATATTTATCATGGTTTCAACTATTTATTCTATCAAATTTTTAACCAAAAAACTGTGTGCTCTGGCTTATAAGTAGATTTGCAATTTTAAACTAGATTTATTGCATGTTACTATACTTCTAATTTCTAAATTTTCTTTAGCAGCTAATGTAAAAAGAATTATGCATTTAGGTAATATATTGATATAAGATGTTAGACATTGCCAAAAACTTAAAATTTTGGACTAATGGAGCATCTTTTTTGGTTTGCATTCATAAAGTTTTTAACTCAGATTAGAAAAGTTTTAACATCTTATAGTTTTTAGTATCATTGACTGATTAATGACAATTTAAAGTTTCATCTTACTAACTAATCACTGTTATCTTAACCATTAGCTTTTGTCAAAAAATTAAGGATTTTATTCCTCCATATGAAATGTTTAAAGTCTAGAACTACCCAAATATGATTTAAGTAGTTTCAATTTAAATAGAACTATTGGCTCAACCGAGAATCTATAATTCCATTCACATTCATTAATTCAAGACTAGTGCAAAATTAATAAGCCCACAGCTTTTTTGCCTCCTAAAATTTTTATATTTTGTTATATAATTCTCTTTGCAGAGCAAAGCCTCCAAAGACATTTTTATTAGTGCAATTTTTTTAATAAAAATGCTAATGAAATTCAATTATGGAGTCAGTCCAAATAATATAAAAATAAAAAGCAATAAAGATAGAAATGAAAAATGCCCATAAATCACTATACAACAACAATATTGGATCCCCTTTCATAATAAGTAAATATTATGAATTTGCATTTTTAAGAAATTTGATATTTTGAGACTGACAATTTTCCTAAATCTTACTAATTATGTATAGTAAATGATTGCATTTTTTAATTGGACACTAGTAAGATATGTTTCACCCAAATAACATAAAAAGGATTACATCATTGTAATCTTGTAGCATATTTGATCACTATGTAGTTGGAGTTTATTCAATAGTAAACATACAATCTTTGATTGGTAGATAAAGTCCCACTCTTCGATCGCTTTAAAAAAATAGGTACAATCACATTTTATTGATAGAAAACTTTGAGTGAAACACATTGATATAAATGAGACTAATTTTACCTAATAAAATAGATTTCAGAGAATTCAAAAGGACACTAAAATATATCAGAGCACGTATTGTGATAAAGATAACTCAAGATTTAAGTAACTCATATGAAATTGCTTGCACATGTGAGGATAGGATCTTGCTTCAAGAAGCATCGAACTTCCCATTAGTTGGGTATGAACAAAGAATTTGAATAAGAATCCTTCTTGTGTACAACATTGTGGAGTTCAAGAAAATTATAAATATCAGATCATAATAAATGAAAACTATTGATTACAAAATCAACCTGTCTCTAGATTTTGTAAAAATGAAAATGGATTAGTTTATCAATGTGAAAGAACTATTGCTAATGTTGTCTGAGAAAGCTAATATGGTATTAGGACATAAACTAGAAAATCAAGTCAAGTCACATGAAGTTAGAGATGATATATATTTCAAACCTCAGAATGAGTTTCTAAGATCATCTACATTTGCATACATTTTATTCTTCTACATGCTTCTTCAAAATAATATTGTGGAGAATTTATTATTGACTCAAATTAGTTGAACATTTAGCATATTAAACATTCTCTTAAAATGACATTATCTTAATATGGTCTATTTATGATTCGGTTACGACCACTATGTCGTATAAGTTTCATGAGCATAGGAGTAAAGACCTTATGTACATGTAACAAATTGAATTTTAATCATTACTATTAAAACAACATAGATAGTTAAAGATTTACAAGCTCACTTTGAGAAAGAAAAAACATTTATAGATACATAGTTTATTGAAATCCAATGAGAACACACATAGACATAGACATATATAGCATAGTAAAAGATTTACAATAAGTACAATAGGAAAATAAGATTGATACTTAAATTTTTTTTCTTCTTCACATCTTCAGCAACTTACATCTAACTTGATCTCCAAAGGCGAAGTCATTTCATGGCACTTCTTTTTTGAGTACATTGGCCAATTGATTTTCAGACCTCACAAATATGAACTGTATCACTTTATCTTCAAGATTTTATTTGATAAAGTGCCGATCCACTTTAATGTGTTTGGTGCAATCATGTTGAATAGAATTATGACTAAGGGTGCTAGCGAGTTGAGTCAAGTTCGAGACTCAAGTAATGCTATGCTCGATTTTGAACTTAATGAATTCCTAGACTACTTGAGCTCGAACTTGACTTGACTCGAAAACAAGAACTTGTAGCTCAACTTGACTCGTGGAGAATAATATATAAAGTCAAACTCAACTTGATAAGACTGAATCCTATTCTCAAGCCTTATCAAGCTTGAGTGCTCACACAAAAACTTGATTACAATTCCTGTCTTCTAGATTCTAAAATAAAAATAATGGTTTCAAGGTTGATTTTACAGCCGCCTACTCTTGCAAATACACCAAAAAACACTTAGAACAGTCCCACAAAAGAGCTAGTTTGTTAACCTCGATCCTCTACTAGCAAAAGCCTCAAAGTGTCCAAAACACATGCTTAGGTTTTTATATTTCACAACATAAAATCATAATTGACAAGAAATTTAGTAATTCATTAGCAAAATCCCATACAACAACTCAATTTATTCCCCCAATAATGAGTAGATAGGGTTTTGGGGCTATGTTTTGTTGGAATAAGGCTTCAATTAGCTGAAGTGTTTGAGGGAATTACTATATATATCTTTATTTATGTGCTAGGCTAATATAAATAGATGAGCTTACAGCCATAAGTCCTCAAAGATAGCAAATCAAATCTAAACTACTTGCTGATCTTCAGCAACTAGTCAGCTAGAAACAAGGAAACATAACAACCCCCAGTAGCCTAGTAACAGCTAGGAGACTTATTCAACATATCTAACATTTCTCTTCCTTAAACTGAATTATCCCATGCATTCAGTTTACATCTGTTACGACTCCCAGCTTGTTTCGCATTCATACAAAGTCTTCCAACTTGAGTGGCTTAGTCATGACATCTGCTACTTGTTCTTGTGAACTACAGTGTTGTAGTTCAACCATTTCATTCCTTATAAGCTCCCTTAGGAAATGGAAGCATACATCAATGTGCTTACTCCTCCCATGCAGAACCGGGTTCCTTGATAATTTGATGGCCGAGCTATTATCAGAGTAGATAACTGTTGGACTTATTTGATTTCTCCCTACTGCTTCAAGTATCCGCCTGAGCCACACTGCTTGACATGAGCCTGTTGCTGTAGCTATAAATTCTGCCTCGATAGAGGATAGACTCACCACAAGTTGCTTCTTCGAGCTCCATAAGATAGCAGCCTCACCCATCATGAACACATAGCTTGATGTACTTTTTCTATCTTTAACATCACTAGCATAGTCACTATCTGTGTAACCAACCAGTTCTTTCCCTCTATTTCTCGAATAGAATAGTCCATATTCACATGTTCCTTTGAGGTAGCGTATGATTTGCTTTACTACTTGAAAATAGAGCTCCTTTGGATCTTCCATGAACCGACTCACTTGGTTCACACTATACATAATGTCTGGCATCGTAGCAGTTGCATACATTAGACTCTTGACCATCTGTTTGTAGAATGTCTTGTCTACTCCTTTTCCATCTTCATCCTTGCTCAGTTTACTCCATGGAGCCATTGGATTATGGACTGATTTTGAGTTGTCCATTCCAAATCTCTGTAGAAGATTTGTCATGTACTTCTTTTGACACACAAAGATACCATCAGCTTTCTGTGTTGCTTCAAGACCGAGCAAAAACTTCATTTTCCCCATGTCGGTCATAGCAAATTCTAGCTTCATGGAACTCTTAAACTTCATCATCAACTTATCATCATTCCCTGTGTAAATCAGATCATCCACATACAAGCTCACATATTGATGTGAAACCCCCATCTAGACAACCAAAACACCATGGCTTAGGTAGCGGAAATTTGACCCAACTAATCCCTAGAAGTCACAAACAATTTTGATATTATCTCAACACGTAACTACTCGAATTAACGAACCAAATTGGAGGTAGTAGAACGCCACAATCAAGGAGATACTCGATTGATAAGTTCGGGTGAATAACTTGAGAAGATTCTCAAGTATTCAAAGGAAACTCTCTTGCCAAAGAGAAAGTGAAAACTCACTAATTGTATTTAATAGCCAAAAAACTGATCCCCAAACAAAGAGGAAGTGGGGCTATTTATAGCCCTTACAAGCATTAACCCTAATCCAAAAGTTGACCAAACTACCCTACATACTTAAGAAAGATTTTGGGCCTTACTTACTAACAAATGAGCCGCAATTAAACTATCTTAATTACCTAGACTTTTTAAAACGAGAAATAACCAAAATCAACGAGGAAAATCAAATAATCCTACTAAACTCAAGCATTCGTGCAATCAACTAGTCTTCACTTGAATCTTCCAATTCCCCATGTGCTTGAATGGGTCTTGGTCTTTATATTCTCATCATTCCCCTCCTCTTAAAAGCAATTTGCCCACAAATTGAAGCACGAATGGTGACAAGACGAGTTACATGCCTTCGACTCAATCTTGTTATGATGGCTACAGATGGCATCCAATGCAAAGCCCATGTGCTAAGTTGGAAAATAACCCTCGTCGAACCTTGAATCTCACAAACCATCTTCAATGTATGCTCAACTTTATTGTTTGT